TGACTGTATTTTGGTTATATTTGATGCCTTCAGGTACTTTAGCTCAAGTTAAGGTCACTCAAGTGACAGGAAGCAAATGTCTCTGCAGTAGTTCACAATTATAGTTAATATATATGCATATTATTTTTGAAACTGGAGCTAAATAATGGCCAACAGTTCATTCAAAAAGTGGAAGAACAAAACCAGGGAAACATGGATACGCGTACCCAAAGGTAAAATGGCATTTTAGTAATGTTTGCTGCTTGTAAAGGTTTCTATTTTTCCTTTCTGCAGAAAGAGCATGTTAGTGACACACTGTAACGAACAGAAATGACCAAAACTGCAAGATGTTTGGTAACATACCTTCTGGACATTATTCAAATTGTTGCTAGTAACTAACGGACAAACTGTTTGGTGTAACCTGTTTTGTGTTTAATTGCAGAATTTGACGAGGTTAAGCAAACACATTACTTAATTGCCCCTTCTGCTTGTCAGCTCCTTCTGGATTGATAAAATGCAAATGAACAAATCATTAACCAGTACCGGTTATGAATCTCTCAGGCAGTTCAAGACCCTATCAAATCCTGCAGCTATTACTTTGTGTGATTGATGTACTATTGTAAGTGATTGTTCCTGATCTTATTAAATCTTATTGATTTTTCCCCCCAGTTTCTATTTTATGCAGGAACAGGCTAGGACTATTATGAATGTTGCTGAACACTGTTAATCAAGCTTACATAGCTATTTTGATAGCAAACAATTAGAAATCTGCAGCAGTACCTTGCAATTAGCTTCAGGGATACAGACTTCAGCACTGTAATAATGAAAAAGACCTTCTCCTACATGAAACTTAATGAGATTTAGAAGTTCAACCCTGAGTGACCTTTGAAAAGCAGCCAATCAACAGACTAAGATTTGTTTATCTATCCCATTAAAAAAAGTTGAATTTTTTTATGTCCAGAATGTTCCATTCTGAAAATGTTTTGTCTGTCACTCTGTTGAATGTTGAATGCAATATAATTAAAATTGTCATAAACTAATGAAATCTCATTCACGATAGTGCCCTGGCTTTATTTTAGTTTTTCATTTCAAACCTACATGGCATAAAGTAACTTCATTTGATTGATAATAAATTTTATGGTGAAAAGCAAATTACAAAACTATTATGCACAATGTATATAGATACATTTTTTCACAATAGTGTATGCTGTAAAAGCATCTGTGTAGATGAGGTATGTGTAAAATCATTTACAATATTAAATAGCTTTGACAGAATGTATAATTACGTCAAATTGGTGTTGGAAAGGTGATGGTAGTGAAAATCTGCAGCTAATGAACAAAGTCTATTGCAGAAAATAACTGAGAACTTTATAGTGTGAACAAATTATACAAATATAAGAACAAACATAGACAATTTAGCCCAACAAGCCTGCACTACCACTCAATTAGATCACAGATGTTCTATTTCTCAACCCCATTTATTTGCTCCATGTCCTTTGACATTCTTACTTAATGCGAACTACTGATCCCAATGTTGAAAATTGCAGTTGACCCAGCCCACAGCCACCTTTGGGTTATAAAGGGGAGAATGAGGGAAGTGTTGCAAGGAACTGGATTTTGCATCTCAATACTCTGGCTGCAAAATTCAGCGCCTTATCTTCACTACTTTCAGCATCAAGTCTGCTGGTTTAGGTGAAAGATAGCGTTAGCATGACTCCATCAAATGTGGATTGCAGTGAATGCCGTGTTGGAAAGGACATTAGCACGGGCACTAATTGCATATGCCAGAAATATCAGAGCCGGCGAGGATACTGATATCAGTCAGTGTCTAACACTTTGACACCTGACCTAGCAGTTTTGACCTTGCTGCTCTAATTAACATGCTATTTTAAAAATGCACAGCTGAGCATGTATTCAACAGTGCAAGAAACTCCACACCAGCACAATCTAAAGGCGTCAGCTGTCAACTAGCGGTTGTTCTGACCAAGTGAGGAGGAGTAGAAAGGTTCTGCTTTTCCCCCACTCCCATTTTGACCGGTGCAGCATTTTTAGAATGCTGCCACTTCAGTGCATGATGTGACTGCAAAGGTTACATATAGTCAGCATTCCCAGTGAGTTTTTGTAAAAGGAAATTATTATTTATTGCATTTAATATCCGGTCCAAATAGAATAATGAAAATGTTCGGAGTTCCAAGCAAACACTTGAGGGTTCGTGCACACGTATGTGTACAAATATAGGGTAGATGGGAAGGTAAATGAAGATCCAATACAAGTTAGTGGTTTGCAGATCTTGTAAATAGATGGCTTTGGTAGTTTCAGGCTGGTCTCAGTGTTGAGCATCAAGATTGTTGAAAGACTTTGACGGACGACATAGCTCTTCTTCTGGAGGCAGTGGTAGCTGGTTTGATTCTGAAGACACTGCCTGATGTGAGCAGATAATAAAACCAGCAGGCAAGGCAGGGAGAGAGAGAGAGGGAGAGGGAGAGGATGCCCCAACCCGGGGGAGGGACTGCTTCTTTCACATCTCCTCTGCTTCCTTTTGGTCACTTGGAGAAAAGCAGATGCTTAAATAGTAAAAGAGTTAGTCAGCACATCATATGATACCTTCTCGCTGCCTGACCAGTTACTCAACTACAGCCATAGTTAGTTGATTCGAGCTCTAAGGTCAATATGATTACATCCCACTGGGCACTTTGCCCGCATGACCAACACGAGGGTCCTCAAGCAGGTGCTCTATTCCCAGCTTCGAAACAGCAGGCAAGCCCCAGGTGGACAGAGGAAACAGTTCAGGGATACTTTCAAGGCCTCCCTGGTGAATTGTGGCATTACCACGGGCACCGAGGAATCACTGGCCCATGGCCGTCCGAAGTTGAGGAGGAGTATGCGGGAGGTCATTGAGCACCTCGAGACTTGCCGTCAGGAAATAGCGGCAGCCGGGTGAAAACAGCAAAAGGAGCGCGCTGCCACACCAATGCCTCATCCACCCCTTCCCATGACCACCTTCTGCCCTGAGTGTAACAGAGCCTGTGGAAGCCATATCGGTCTGTAAAGTCACCCTGTGTATGGAAGAGAGTCATCCTCAACTGCAAGGAGCTGCTGATGTTGATGGTGATTACATTACAGCTGAATGTGTTACTTTCTCAGCCAGAATTCATTGTCCAAAGTGATTATGTCTGTTGCTCAGTCTTCACTTGGTTGACTGCACAGGTGATTGTCTAGATGTTTTGTGAATTGGTCAGAACATGGCCCATTCACACTCTTTCAAGGTTATTATTTCTCTCAGGGTTTTATAGATCGGCTAACTCAATCTTAATGAGGTTCGTAGACTGCTTTGTAGAGCATCTGTGCTCTGTTCGCGACAAACGACAACACCTTCCTGTCGTGAACCATTTCAACTCCCCCTCCCACTCCCTGGGCGACATGTCTATCCTGGGCCTCCTCCAGTGTCACAGCGACGCCACCCAGAAACTGGAGGAGTAGCACTTCATATTCCGCCTTGGGAGCCTACAATGCAATGGTCTCAATGTGGAGTTTACCAGTTTCAAAATCTCCCCACCCCCGGCCTCATCCCATGACCAACCCTCCCTCTCATCCCCGCCTCCTTGACCTGACACAACCTGTCCATCTTCTCTCCCAATTATCCGCCACTCCCAACTCACTGACCAATCCCCACCACTCCCCACCTGCACTCACCTATCACTATCCCACCTATCTTCCCCAGCCCCACCCCTCCTCTCTATTTATTTCGGATCTTGCTTCCCCTTCCCCCTTTCTGAAGAAGGGTCCCCACCCGAAACATCAGCTTTCCTGCTCCTCTGATGCTGCCTGGCCTGCTGTGTTCCTCCAGCTCCACACTGTGTTGTCTCTGACTCCAGCATCAGCAGTTCTTACTGTTTCTTAATTTTAATGATTTTGAAATTTGTAAAGTAAAATGGTGCAAGTATTTGGCCACCCTCGAAACTTCTGAATTGTGTTCCAGTCCTTTCAAATTCAGAGAGGGTAATATCCAACTATCTTCTTGGTGTCTGCCTTCTGGTTTGATGTACCACTTTTCTCCAAGCTCAGTCATGTCAGCTGTTGCTCAGTTGCTTGCACTTGCACCTTTGAGATGCAAGGTACAAGATTATTGTTCCACTCCAGTGCTAGAGCACAAAACTCAATCTTGATATTCCAAGTTGTACTGAGGGACTGCTGTGCTATTGGAGGTACCGTCCATTTGTACAGGCTTTCTGATCAGATGATGGCCCAAAAAATTGGCATTTCAGAAATAACCAGGATTTCTACCACCTTCTCCTCCCATCAAGTTGGTGTGATTGTCCTCTACTCTGGGTCTATCTGTGACCGTCTGCTGGTGGATCAGCTGATATCAGAGGGTGGTATCTGACCTTCTGTATCTTTCCTGCCAAATCCAAATGATGCCAATGCCTCAAAGCTGTTTGCAAATCAATTGCTTAAACATCTGAATTGACCTGACTGGGTCTATGGCCCTTTTCTAAAAAAAAATTAAGCTGCCTTTACAGCACTGAGACTAGGATCTTCCTGTTTTCAGGTTAAGTAAGACAGAATGTCTTATCTTAGGGGTAGTATATCTGTGGAATTCTTTACCATGGAGGGATGTCAAGGCTGAGTCATTACGTATATTCAAGGTTGAGAGAGACTGATTTTTAATCAGTAAGGGAATTAAGGATTTTGTGGAAAAGGGAAAAAAGCAGATTTGAGGATTATCAGATCGGGCATGATCTCATTAAATGGTGGAGCAGATTCAATGGGCTGAATGGACTACTTCTGCTTCTACATCTTATGGTCTGAGAATGGATCCTGGAAGAAAACCTATGACCATTGTCAGAAGTCCCACTGAATCTTCCGGCAAGTCAAGGCAGCAGAATGTCTGCGCGCTGGCTTCTGTCGCATTATGACCCGTGGGCAGGAAGTCCTGCCTACTTGGAACTGCCAGCCAATCAGAGATCAAAATCTCCAGTACATCAGGCTGCTGGGAACCTACCTCAGCCCCCTCTCCCAAACCCCAGGACCTCAAGATGGAGGATCTCCATGGAGAAAGTTCAGTGTTGCTTTGGGGGATTTCTGGATCTGAAAGTTACAGGAAGAAGGAGAAACGTACTCAGAAACAAAGGCAGCGTGATGATTTTCCAAGGCTTGGGCCTGGCCTAGATCCAGAACACATTGGTACAAGGTCGCAGGAAACCACAACCTCCATCCGCTGTACAAACTAACAGCCTGCTTACGCTGCTTCACTGGTAAGGCAGGCCGAATGTTTCCCACCCACCTGGAGCTAAAGTAATTACACTGCAGGTGGGATGAGCCTCTCCATTGCCAATATTGGGTGGTAGGCTGGGAAAGTCAAGTTTGGGCCTTGCAGCTGAGAACGTAGTCCCTGTGACGTCAGAAAGGGGTGGGTGTCTCTTTGATACAAACCCACTTGATTATCAGTCCCTCCCCAGCAACTTCCCTACTGTTCCTCAGAAGGGGAAGATTACATCCTTTGCTTTTGCTCTTTGTGTCATTTGCAACTCAGATACACGAGCCTTTGTCCAAGATGTTGGTGTATATAGTGAGGCCCAAGTGCACTTTCCTGGGAATGGCACAAGTCACATTCCAATAAATCCACCTTTAAAATAAGCAAGAGAATAAGGTGTGCTGCAGTAATGCTCAGAACTGTTGCCTTTAACCCTCATTTCTGTTTCCTATCTCTTATCAGTTAGTAACTGATAGCACAATGTTCCTTCCAAATCTTTAATTTTTCATTTTGCTGACTTGCTCCACCAGTCATTAAATGATGGTGAATCTGATATTGCCTCGACTACACTTTCCTATCTGTTCCCCACAAGCCTTGACTCCCATATCAGTATAACACAGCCTTGAATATGTTCAATGACCATTCACCATTGCTGACTGGGGAGAGAATTCCAAACATAAACAACCTTCTAAAAGGGACAAGTTGCTCCTCATCTCCATTGTAAATAGGAAACACCTTATTTTCAAACTGAGTTCCCTTGTTCCAGATAACCCAATGAGGGGAATGAATCTCCTAACATCTATTCTGTCAAATCCCCTCCATCTTTTATGTTTCAATAGGGACATCTTTGATATTTCTAAACTCCAACGAATGTAAGCTTGGTTGTCCCAACTTTTCACATGTGACAATTCTAGAATTAGCTTAGGTGAACTATTTCTGAACCATGCCAACTGCAAGAAGGTCCCTTCTTAACTAAGATGACCTAAGCTGCCAACAGTACTCTATCTGTGCTCTCAGCAATACCCTGTACAGTTGTAGCAAGTCTTCACGACTTTTATACTACATTCCCCTTGCAAGAAAGACCAATATTCTGTTTGCCTTCTTCATTATTTGCTGTGCTTTGTTGTTTGACTACAAGAAATGTGTAGATCCTGTGTATGACAGAATTTAGCATTCTCACTCCATAATCTATTTCTCTGTTCTTCCCATCAAAATGAACAACGACATATTTTTGAACATTATGTTTCTTCTGCTAAACATACTCTAACTCAAAAATCCCTTTGGAGACCCTTTCTAACCACCTCACAACTTGTTTTCCTGCCTATCTCTGCATATTTGGAAGATTTGGCAACACCAAATTGGTCCCTTCACCCACGTAACTGTTATGAAATGTAAGAGGTTGAGGTCCTAGCACTGAACCCTATGCCATTGCACTAGTTGAAGTCAGAGGTCACATGACATCAGGTTACAGTCCAATAGGTTTATTTGCAATCACAAGCTTTCAGAGCATTGCTCCTTTGTCAGGTGAAGAGACTGCTAGTCTTCCCCTGATGAAGGAGTAACGTTCCGAAAGCTTGTGATTTCAAACAACCTGTTGGGCTATAACCTAGTGTCATGTGACTTTTGACTTTGTTCACCCCAATCCAGCACTGGCACCTCCACATCATGATTATACCAGTTAGAGTTTGTCAACCTAAAATGATCCATTTATCCTGACTCTGTTTCCTGTTAGTTAGCTGGTTCTCTGTCCATGCCAACATATAACCACTAACAGCATTAGTTCTTATCTGTATGGTAACCTTTTACGTAGAACCATACTGACTGCCTTTTAGAAATCCAGGTACTCTATTGTCACTGGATCCCCCCTATCCACCATTTTTGCTGCATTCTGAAAGATCTCCAGTAAATTGTCAAATGCCATTTTTCTTTCACAAGTCATGCTGACTTTGCCTGATTGTTTTATGATTTTTTTTTATATGTGCTGCTCTTACTTCTTTATTAATGGATTCCAGGATTTTCCCAATGACGGACATTAGAGTAATTGGCCTAACGTTTTCAAATTCCTCCTGGAATTTCAAATTTTAAAAAATCCACAGACCAGCCTTTAACCAGTAAAGTAAAATGAGAACCTCCACATATTTACACATAAGAATCAAGTATGAACTTCCTATCATAAATGTACGCTGACTCTCGAAATAAAAACCAAAAGAATTGCGGATGCTGTAAATCAGGAACAAAAACAAAGTTGCTGGAAAAGCTCAGCAGGTCTGGCAGCATCTGTGGAGGAGAAAACAGAGTTAATGTTTTGGGTCCAGTGACCCTTCCTCAGAACATGTGTATGCTGACTCTCTGATCAATTCATATTTGTCCAGCTGCTTAATCACTCTGTCCCTATCTAATAGATAGTCACAACTCACCCACAAGAGTAGTTAATTGAGCATTTTAGTAGTTACCTGCTCTCTCCTTCACTCTCTTTTTACAAATGGAATAATATTTACATTTTCTCCAAAGATACTAATCTTAAATCTGGACACTATTAGAACTTTCTAATTCACTCATCTACAATTTATTTATTTCTAAATTCTATTGATTGAAACCATCAGATTCTGGTGATTTGTCATCCTTAAGTTCAATTATTTTCTCCTATTTTTTGAAACCAAGTTTCAGCCGTTGACTTATTTATAAACTCTCTTATGTTTGATGGTATTTTATCCTCATTCTATGCTGTGAAAATAAATACAATGAACATAGTTAAAAATACTTCTGCTATTAGTTTTGATATTGAATATTCCACTTTTGCACCACTTGTTACTTTTTTTGAACCTCTTTATTGTTCTTTGTCGCTCTTCCAGTCCACTGATTTATATTTTTCTTTACACTTTCCTATTACCTATCTTTTAACTTGCTATTACCTCTTTTCTACTTGCATTTTCACTATTGTATGAAATGTGCATTGTGATATCCATGCAGAGCTCTGAACATTTGTTCATTTAGCAAACTTTTCCTAATTTTAAAGATAAATTCACTCTTTTTCTGGCCCTTTTTATTACAGTGGAGGTAAGTATTTTTAAATGTGTATTGTAAATAACATTGCTAATTTGTATCAAACCCCATAGAATGGTAGCAGTAATTCAAATAATTAATACACTCAGTTTAGATATGCAATTCCCATTGCAACTAACCAGTAACACTGGATTTATTAATGCTACGCAATTGCAGCGCTGTGGTGATGAAACTGTTCCTGTATTTAGACCTTGAAAAGGATACCTATTATACAAGATTTAAAATTTTCTTCCTTCCTTCATTCATAATATTGCAATAATTGTCAAAATCAAAGGAATACAGGGAAATTGGAACTGGGTTTCAAACAGAGGACATATATAGCTTCAAAGATTTTCTTTTCTTGCTTGGTGCATTAATTTCCATGAAAGCTTGCAAGAACAATAAAGCATCCATGCTGTGGTCATGAAAAATACAGTTGCTCTCCATGTTTACAGCACAGGCATCCACAGAGACATAACAACAGTGAAATATTTCCTCTGTGCTATTCCAGCAAAGTAGTTTTTCTTTTTCAAACTGGTTTCTTCCCAAGCTACAGGGAATCAAATATCACCTAGATGTTGTAATTTGTGCACTTGTCAGTAACAAGGAGGGCTATTAGAGAAACAACATGCTCACGTTATGACCCTGTACCAGAATGTAACACAATTCAATGCATGCTTCCCAAAGAGTAAGTAAGGTGCATTCATCCTATAACCTGACTGCTTTTCAGTTCTTGGACCTTCGGAAAAATAAAAACATAGTAGATATGCAAAATTTAACGAGTGATACTCCTGCTATCATGTCACCTACAATCATCAGCACAACATTACAATTTAACATTGAGCAGTTAACAGCCAGCCACGTTCTCAACTAAGGCATTTCAACTCTACTATCATGTAATGATTAAATAATTTGCAGTGTTTGCAACTGTGAGATGTGGGGTTATGTTTGAAATTGGGATAAAGATGCGGAGATGAATTCAACCATATGCATCTGTTAGCTATGACCCCTGACTGATGGAAGTTGGTGGTGTTTGAGTAAATAGTTGTGATGGATTGAACAGTGAATGAGGTTCGTAAGTATAGTTGGCTTATTGACCTAGAGGTGTGATTCTCACTTTGGAGTGTGTTGTACAATGAGATGTGAGAGATCCTGTGTTCAAATTTGGGATGAACTTTCATTTAAAGAGCTCTGAGGCAGACTGGTTGTGTTTCTTGTGATCTAAGAGGCCAGGGTTCAAGACCCACTTGTCTCAGAAGTGTGTAATAACATCTCTGAAGATATCTGTAAGCGAGGAGCTCTATGGTACTGTGGGGTAATGTTCCTACCTCTAAGCCAGGAGGTCTAGGTTTGAGTCCCAACTGGTCTAGTGATGTGTGATAACATCCCCGAATAGGTTGATTAGGAAAATGTCTGAGGTTTGTGCTGTAATTTTTGACATATGGATTTTGAATATACATTCACCTACCTTGACCAAACATTGAAACGTAATTCAATGTCTTGTAGCACTGCATCTACATCAATGGGGCTGACTTCCTGACACTTAGGTGCTCTAACTGTCTTTTCAACATGTGAAGACAAGACATCACTCCACCTTTTCATCTCCAATGCAGGTCACATAACCTGACAGTCCATGTTTTTCTACACTCATCTTCCCCTTTTCTGGCTGTGATTTGGTCTAAAACATTGAGGAATACTATTGCGCAGTCTAATGAGAAGGTCTATTGTCTTGAAACAAGTTGTAGTTTATTGCAAGATTACAGCTTATAGATACAAGGATGTTTTGCCTTTCCCCCACCCAAGTCCTTGTGTACTATCAGATTGGGTGGAGCTGAATGCAGTCTTCAGTATTAACCTTTTAAGAACCGTAATTAAACAACACTACTTTCCTTGTTTGATTCAGTTCTCTAAATGAACAAAGAACAAAGAACAGCCCAGCACAGCTACAGGCCCATAGGCCTGCCAAGGTTAGACCGACACATGACGCATTTCTAAACTATGCCTCTACACGGTCCATATACCTTCATTCCCTGCTCAGTCATATATCTGTCAATATGCCTCTTAAACGTGGTATTGTATCTGCCTTCACTACTTCCTCTGGCATTCCAGGCGCTTGTCACCTTCTGTGCAAAAAACATGCCTCTCACATGTCCTTTAAACTTACCTCCTTTTACATTTAACCTATGTTCCCTAGTAATTGACATTTCTACCCTGGGAAAAAGACTCTGACTATCCATTCTAACCATGCTTCTCACACTTTTGTAAACTTCTATCAGGTCGCTCCTCAGCCTCTGATGTTCAAGTGAGAACAGAATGATTTGCATATACTTGAGTCTTTTTTATTTCATTTCTCCAAATACCATGCGCTGTTATTTCATAGTTATAAGCCTGTCTTGCCTTGTTGCTCTTTAAATAATGCTCCTGGATCTCCCTGGAGTCCTGCAAGCACACACTGTTAATGCCATGATCCTGCAAAGCAAAACAAAATAACAAGCGTTTTTCAATTCAAGCAGATCCTTTTCTATTTCAACCTGAAACGTTCTTCGATAATATTCGTTAAAGATTAAATATTACCCAGGTCTGCTATCCTTGGATGTTTTCTATCTACTTCAATAGCCAGAAAGAATTATGATCAGGCTTAGCACTGCCTACCCAGTTCAGGCTTTGTTTCTATCTTCAGTTTAAGTTTAAAGAAAGGAGAGAAATGCATTTATATACTGTCTTTCATGACTACCAAACTTCTAAAGCACATTATAAGCAATATTTTGGAGAGTAGCCATTTTTTTGCTAGGAAGTACAGCAGACAATTTGTACACAGAAAGCTGCAAGAGATTCCATTACCTTCCTCCCTGCAATAATTTCTGAACACTGAAATTAAAGGAAGAAAATGCACATGGAAGTGGTTCAGCCTTAATTTGTTGGTTTATTAAACCAACAAAGCCACAGTACTTGTGATTTGACTGAAACATACAATCAATCACCCATGTGAATCTTCATTACTGATGCTGATTGTAGTCTTGGAGGCCAGTCCCCCTCCTGTTCCCACCTGACTTCAGTGATCCTGCTTTGATGTTGTCCTTTATCATAGTGTCCCAGTCACACTTCCACACGTGGGCCTCAGACATAGATTCAGTTAACAACCTGCTGGATTTCACACCTCTCAACCTTAGTTATTCAATCTCCTGAGTTCAGAGAAAGTTCCTTATCTCCTCCCCTGCTGTTTGTGGAGTAGAAAGATAATGCGATCTTTCTCCCCCATGGTGATGGGTGCTTAACTCAGGGCCTGTTCAGGTGTTAGCGCTCCTTCATCCTTGATAGGAACTGATGCTGGTTCACAATTGCAGTGAACTTGTGGCATTGTCCATTTGTTCACTTTGTCCAAATCAACAACAGTCAGGGTTTCAGTTAATGCATTGCTTACACAGACAAACATATACATTAAGAGCAGAAGGTGGCTACTCAACCCCTTAAGCCTGCTCAGTTAATATGATTAGTCCACATTTCAGCCACCCACAATAACCTTTCAGCCTCTAACTTATCAAGAACCTATCTACATCTGCCTTGAAAACATTCAAAACGCTCTAATTTTTAAGGAGGATCGCAAAAGATTCACCACCTTCTCTGAGAAAACAAAAATCTCTTCATCTTGCCTGTAATGACTGGCCGCTTATTTAAGCAATGACCTTGAGTGCTTGAATCTCTCACTAGAGGAAACATTCTTTCCACATTCACCCTGTCAAGATTCCTTAAAATCTTATGTTTCAATCAAATCACCTTTTTTGTGCATTGAGGTTAACCGGTACATATCTTTTAGTTCTTCCTCTTTTAAATATCTTTTACACCCAGAATACTGGGTATTTACCGCTGTGACTGACCATTACTGGCATCCTGAGAATTATCCCTATCATCGTCTGTTTATACCGAGTCAACTGGGACTGGATATTCTTTCAAAGTCAACCACAGTTGCCATGAGTTCATGAGGATGTCGTATGTAGTTATTGCTTTTCAGCACCTTGTGTTAATCCAAGACAAGATGTAGACTTATTGTAAGTCCTCTACATTACTGCACACCTCGTTTAACAACCAGACCCTGTAAATGGCACATATGTTATTCTGAGTAGCCCCAACCCAAAGTATTTGGTCCACCTCTACTGGATTGGTTTATAGGAGTTTCCAGCTTAGCCAGTAATTTCTTCAGAGGTTGTATAAACCCTCCCATAATTCGCTCAAAAAATTGTCAGAACATCAGCCTTAACAGTTTCTCATATAACTTCTCGGTTTCTGATGGGCCCACCTGGACAGATAAATTAAGGATAATAGAATCTATTTCAGAGTGTGCATTATGGTCTAATACCTTCGCAAATGAAATCAGCACCAACCTATTCCTAGGTTTGGGTGTCATAATGGGGCACTCAACCTCTTTATTGCACATCTTTGTGGTAGTTGGTGGGAACTTGCTTTTGTGTACTACCAGTTCAGTTGAACTGATTGTATTTGGAGAATAATTGGGTAAATAATTGAGGAATGCAAAGATTACCTCATGTATATGTTCTCCACTACCAAGTACCCCCTTAATCTTCTTGGCCCTGTTTTTTTACCCTCATCTGCAACATCAGAACCCAAAACTCATAAAGCTCATTGTCCCTAATGTTCAGAAGAACTATCAAACTATCTCTGCCACATCCTTCCTTTTCCATGGTCATGGCAAACCAAAACACCCATTTCTGTTTCTGAAAACTATTGTTCAATCTTTTAATCTCCCTTTCCTCTCCAAGGTTCTTGAACATGTGGTTACCACCCAAGATCATAGTTAATCTTTCCACCTATGCTTAAGTCAGGTCACATAAGAGTACAACCAAACTCTGTGTCTGACCAATTCTGGACCCAGGGTCTTGCCATTGTTGTTTAAAAGCAATGGTTACTCCTACATGGCATTGCCTTGACCCACCTGCACACATTCACTCCTCACTCTTCCTACCATCACTTGACCCAACAGAATTTCAATCCCTCCTTAAAGCCCAGGTGCCACTTCTGCAAGCTAACTAAATGGTGGATGGAGGTGTGTCCTGTGTGCTTCAGTTTCAACAAGCTTGTCACCATTTCTTGTAATGGAAGGACATACATTGAACATCTGCTATCGCAGCGGTCACATTGGCTTCGGTGGTCCTGGTGACTTTGGAGCCCTCTGATGTTTTCTACACTGCTTTCTGTAGTTGGGATCCTCTCTTTTCTCATCGCAGTCTTCCCCAGCTTCAACAGTGCAATGAGCCAAAACATTCCTCTGGCTGCAGATAATACCAAGACCAGTTCACAATCTTCTCATTACAAGGTCTGTGATCGAATTCTCCACATTTCTGGTCCAAGTGTTTGTATGTTATACCTGTACAGTGCAGTTTCAAGGCCATGAATGGAATTCTGCCCTGAAGGTAAATTGCCCTAGAATGTAGTTTGAATTATATTATAAATGCATATCTATTCAGACCATGCCGAGCAGATCTGGCAGCATCTTTGGAGAGAAATCGAAGTTAACGTTTTAGGTCCAACGATCCTTCCTCCGAACGCTGTTACTCAATTCTGTTCCTCAAACCCGAAATGTTAAATCTAATTTGACTCCACAGATGCTGCCAGACCTGATGAACTTTTCCAGCAATTTCTGTTTTTGTTCCTGTTTTCTAGCATCTGCAGTTCTTTCAGTTTTTATCTACTCAGACCGTATCTTTGTTCATTATGATAACAAATACTGCCGGAAAATTAGAATTTCCTTACTTTTTGAATTAGACATTCCTGTATCAGATACAGCACAACTGAATGAAGAATAAAGTTCCTTCTATTTTGTCCCATGCATATACCTTATTTATGTACTAGTAAAGTTATTTGCACTCCCTGAACCAGTTTTCCTTATGGTCTTAAATGAGACATTCTGTGCCAAATGATAGCTATTTTGTATAATTGATCAAAATGAACTAGGAATTGGGTTGAGATTGACTTTTTTTTAACATAGGACTTTTCTTCACCAGGGCTCAATCTTGCTGTCCAGATCTACAAAGGAAGGAATGGTAAAAATGACACTAATTCAGTAATGGTAAGAAAACACTCCAACTGATAAAAATGAGGCTGAGGATAAAAAGAATGCTTCTTCTTCGAAACTGTCAGAAAAAATTTCTTTCTGAAAATTAAATAGAAAGCAGCAATTCTTTTTTGGTTGTCCATATAGGAAAAAAAGCACTCCCATTTGAGAACAAATGGGAGAACATGACCAGTGTGCATGTCTGTACCATTTAAACAATGAAAGCACCAGGTAAGTAACAGGATCTAGACAGCAAGTCAATGAAACTATGAAAGGTCTCCTATAATGAGCAAAATCAAGCCAATACACTCTGAGTATTTGGCCTTCTTATCGACAAAGATTGCCTTCAAACACTACACATCTTTTCCCATATCAATCACCACTTTAAATGGATAAACCATTATCAATGATGAACACATTTTTAAAGGCCACAAGAAGCGTACTTTGAAACAAAGAACACAAACGGGTTTGGCAACATAGTGCAAAGTGTTAAAACTACTGGGAGGTAAGGTACACAAAGAAAATCTTCAAAAAGAACACAAGATCCTTTCTGCTAAAGATAGCACAGTCTAATCATGTATGGAAAAGTGGTCACTGAGATATGGAACTAAACTGATGAAAGTGATTTATGAACAGAATTAAAATATTGGCATTTTTATGGAGTGAAATGTCACAGCAGTGCTGTACCTTCAAGTCTTACATTTCCTCTTTGAATCCATGTCAGCCTTCTTATACACTAGAGAACTTAATCAATCCTTCCACAGCCTATAAAATAACACAATATTTTACATGCGTAATAGCTGGACAGGGTGAGCCCTGTACATGTAGGAATAAACAATATAAAAAAAGCCAGCATTTTTTTTTGCTTCACATAAAGCGTTACAACAAAACCAAAACAAATATTCAGATTTTAATCTGAGTCAAATGTGCTGCTGTTTAGAGTTTTTTGCAGAAAGATCTTGATGCTGCAACAACTGAGCACACCCTAAGGCAGTTAGTTTGCTGTAAAGGTTAAGAAGAGTTCAGATATGAATCTAGCATGTTCCAACATGTGCAGACCAATCTGTTCAATCTGATGATGAAACGAAAATTAATCAGTAAGCCTATGATTGTTTTTAAATCATCAAAACATTTGTGGTATTCTGAAGAACAGTTGGCAGACATAAATTACACGGCCACAGTAATGCAGAGTGCCTAAAGCTACAACAGGATTTAAGGAGGAAAATATCACATGACTTACATAACCTTATATTATCAAAACAACTACTGTGCTATTATGTTCACCAATAACCTGCCCTGACACATGCAGATCTATATAGATCAATTGATTTTAAGTGAAAAGTCAAACTAATTGCTCTGTCATGTCTTTTATACAGACAAAGGGATTTACAAACTTGGAAAGGTAAAGCCAACTGAATACAATTCTGTATCTATTCTAAAGGTGAGATTCAATTCTTAAAGGGGGATCAAAGTTTTGTTAACCCCTGTTGGTCAGGCTTTTTTTCTGAAAACTCGGAATTCATCAGCTGAAAGGCTTAAAAATGATGCATTTTTAATAATGTTGCTGCTGTGCAATTCCCAAAACAAAACTCCAGTTTTAAATAATATTTATGATTTTGTAGTCAGGGTATAGGAAGTTACATTTTTATGGTGTTACTTGTTTAGAACCTTGCAAATAGCAATAATTAAGTGGGAACATCTCTTACTGAAGAAGTGAACACGTCAAATTAATTGAGAATTGTCAGGCTGAATGTTAGCGATAATAGTCAAGTCCCGACACCAGAGCTGAAAGTGAGTTCTGATACCCTCCCCATTTTACCCATTGGTGAAACACTGGGGAGGAATTTACTGGCAGCCACTAAGAAGCCACCACATGTCAGCAGCTTAGCAGCTTCATTGCAGTGTCCATTGCTGAGATTGCACTGAAGGTATAAGGGCACTTTGATGGCCAGACACCCTCAATGATAGGTCAGTGTGTTTTGGGGGAAGGGGAGGGCCATTAGGATCTGACCAGGGAGGGTCAGGGAAGTTAATGTCTCATTAGGTTGTAGTTTCATCAAATTTTTATTTAATAATTTTGACTCAACTAAACAAATGAGGAATTAAATTAATTTATGTTTAATTGCAGTCAATTTGGTCACTAATACATCATGTGACTGACTTTAACAGTTTGCAACTCAACCTCACTTGATTTCATATCATAGAATGAAAACGCTAAGATTTTCAACGTTGCATGAGCAAGCTCACATCATAGCTTATCTTTTACACTGTTTGGCATTATGGACCTATATTTTTCATAATCTGTGTGTTTTTTTTTATTTGTTCATGAGATGTGGGCATTGCTGGCTGGCCAACATTTATTGCCTGTCCCTAGTTGCCCTTGGGAAGGTGGTGGCGAGTTGCATTTTTGAACCGCTGCAGTCCACTTGCTGTGGGTTGATCCACAATGCCTTTTAGGAAGGGAATTCCGGGGTTTTGACCCAGCCAGAGTGAAGGAAAGGCAACATATTTTCAGATCAGCATAATGAGTAGCTTGGAGGGGAACTTGCAGGGGGTGATGTTCCCATATATCTGCTGCCCTTGTCCTTCTAGATGGAAGTGGTCCTGGGTTTGGAAGGAGCTGTCTAAGGATCTTTGGTGAATTTCTGCAGTGCATCTTATAGATAGTACACATTGCATCAGTGGGGGAGGGAGTGACTACCCACTTTGTAATATACTGTATTAATTTTAAATTGTATAGTTTTAAGGACAAATGCATTTTTGCCACCTTTTATTATTAAAAAGGGTAAATCTTCAAAGTACTGACAGGCACTGGTAAAAACGAGCAGTAACTGATAAAGTTTTTGGTTTGATGAGGAACTCTCACCAATTCAGCAAAACTGAGACATAGAACATAGAACATAGAACAGTACAGCACAGTACAGGCCCTTCAGCCCACAATGTTGTGCCGAACTTTTACCCTAATCCTAAGGTCTATCTAACCTCCACCCCTACCTTATACTATCATCCATATGCCTGTCTAATAGCCGCTTAAATGCCCCTAATGAGGCCGACTCCACTACCCTCTCTGGCAATGCATTCTACGCCCCTACCACTATCTGAGTAAAGAACCTACCTCTGATGGCTCCCCTATATCTACCTCCACTCACTTTAAAACTATGTCCCCTCGTAATAGCTACCTCCACCCTAGGAAAAAGTCCCTGGCTGTCTATACCTCTGATCATTTTGTACACCTCTATCAAGTCACCTCTCATCCTTCGTCGTTCTAAAGAGAAAAGCCCTAGCTCTCTCAACCTTTCCTCGTAAGACCTTCCCTCCATTCCAGGCAACATCCTGGTAAATCTCCTCTGCCCCTTTTCCAATGCTTCCACATCTTTTCTGTAATGAGGCAACCAGAACTGGACACAATACTCCAGATGTGGCTCAACCAGGGTTTTGTATAGCTGGAGCATAACTTCATGGCTCTTGAACTCAATCCCTCTATTAATTAAAGCTAACACACCAAACCCCTTCTTAACAACTCTATCCACCTGGGTGGCAGCTTTCAGGGAACTATGGACATGAACCCCAAGATCCCTCTGCTCTTGCACACTGCCAAGAATCTTTCCGTTAACCCTGTATTCTGCTTTCAAGTTTGTCCTTCCAAAATGAATCACCTCACACTTTTCAGGGTTAAACTCCATCTGCCACTTCTCAGCCCAGCTCTGCATCTTATCACTGTCCCTCTGTAACCTAGAACAGCCCTCTACACTGTCCACAACTCGACCCACCTGCATATCGTCCGCGAACTTAATAATCCACCTTTCCACTCCTACATCCAAATCATTTACAAAAATCACAAATAGAAGAGGACCCAGAACGGATCCTTGTGGTACACCACTCATAACTGTTGAATATTTTCCGTCCACTACCACCCTTTGTCTTCTAAGGGTGAACCAATTCTGAATCCAATCTGCCACATTCCCCCCTATCCCATGCCTCCTTACCTTCTGCATGGGCCTATCATGGGGAACCTTATCAAACGCCTTACTTAAATCCATGAATACCACATCCACTGCTCTACCTTCATCCACGTGTTTAGTCACCTCTTCAAAGAATTCAATAAGGTTTGTGAGGCATGATCTACCCCTCACAAATCCATGCTGACTATCACGAATCAAACTGTGCCTCTCAGAGCCCTTTCCAATAATTTGCCCACCCCTGACGTAAGACTAACTGGCCTGTAATTTCTGGGGTTATCCCTAATCCCTTTTTTGAACAAGAGACAATGAGCTTAGAATATCAGTCATAGGACATAACAGCATACCTTTTCTGATCCAGAACTAATGAGAAAAGAAGGTAGTGTAAAATGTCCTAATTCATATCAGAAATAATCTAATTAATCCCAAAACATCCTTTATAAATTGAAAAGAAACAAAAAATGCTTTTGTATGGTACATAAAACACCACTTGACGTCGTTGATTTGCTCGCCGAGCTGGCTTGTTCTCGTTCAGGCATTTCGTCATCATGCTAGGTGACATCATCAGTGGAGCTTCTAATGAAGTTTCTTCGGAGGCCTCACTGATGATGTTACCTAGCATGGTGACAAAACGTCTGAATGAAAACAAGCCAGTTTGGTGAGCAAGTCAACAACCTTACCCACAACCCGAGCTACAAATCTTTGTAAAACCTTAAATTAAAACACCACTCTCACAGCACAAAGCAAATGGGATATTGTCCCTAGGGGGGTGGAGTTTAAAAACGGAGGTTATGCTGTAGCTGTATAATGTGCTGGTGAGGCCACACCCAGATTACTCTGTACAGTTTTGGTCTCCTATTTTGAGAAAGGATGTACTGGCACAGGAGGGGGTGCAGAGGAGGTTCACTAGGTTGATTCTGGAGTTGAGAGGGTTGGTTTATGAGGAAAGATTGAGTAGACTGGGACTGTACTCATTTGGAATTTAGAAGAATGGGGGGGATCTTATAGAAACATATAAAATTATTAAAGGAATTGGCAAGATAGAAGCAGGGAGGTTGTTTCCACTGAAGGGTGATACTAGAACTAGGGGTCATAGCCTCAAAATAAGGGGGAGCAGATTTAGGATTGAGTGGAGGAGGAACTTCTTCACCCAAAGGGTTGCGAATCTGTGGAATTCCCTGCCCAGTGAAGTAATTGAGGCTACCTCATTGAATGTTTTTTAAGGCCAAGATAGATTTTTGAACAGTAAAGGAATTAAGGGTTACGGTGAGTGGGCGGGTGGATAAGTGAGGCTGGGTCCATGAAAAAATCAGCCATGGTCTTATTGAATGGTGGAGCAGGCTTGACAGGTCAGATGGCCTACTCCTGCTCCTATTTCTTATGTTCTTAACTCCTGGTACAGTACCAAAAATGACAACTATATAAAACACACTGGTGTCCCTCTATCTAAAACCTTGGTCGGCTTAAGTCACTGAGGACTTCAATTTTTGAACAGGAATTGTGATAGCTCCAGGAAGAAGCTATCATACACTGGAGTTCTGCACTTTTGTTCATGTTTTCAATCATGGCCGAAATGGGATCAACAGTTTAGCAGAGCTGGTGACATATAAATTGAGCATCAGCAAGCATTTTATACTTTTTCAAGTGCCACTTGTTGGCACAGTCACTAACTGCCTTCCAGCACTTTGCTGACGATGGAGAAGAAACTGAGGAAGCAGGAATTGGCTGAGTTGGATTTGGCTGCTTATTGCCAGAACATACCTGGGCAACATTTCACATTGCTGGCTAGAAGCCAGTATTGTAGCTGTATTGGAACAGCTTGGCTGGGGCTATAGCTAGTTCTGGAGTACAAGTATTTGGTACTATTATACAAGGCACCAGATGAAACCTGCCAGCTTTGTTGCTGCACTAGAAAGCACCCTGTGCCAATCAGACTGTATTTCCTCTGTCTCCCGCCCTGTTAATCTAACCCCCCCAGCTCAATTCTTAGCAAGTTGGAAGTGGGCGATGGGTGAAGCTATTCTGTCGCTTCTGACTGACACAAGTCCAATGTTACACATAGAGATAGCAAGAATTGCAGATGCTGGAGTCAGAGATAACACGGTGTGGAGCTGGAGGAGCACAGCAGGCCAGACAGCATCAGAGGAGCAGGAAAGTTGGCGCTTCAGGTCGGTACCCATTTTCAGAAATGTTATGCATGCTGTACTGAGCTGATGCATGCCTGGATGTGGCTGCTGTGCTGCTCTGAGTCAGTACATAGCAGTGGTATCTCAGGATCATTATGCTTTATTGGGCCCTGCTGTTCTTCACCCTCTTCCTTCAAGAGAGCTGGGAACTCTTCACATTCTTCCATGTCAGCTTCACTGTTCTTTGAAGTGCCAAGTTGCGAACCACCAATAGATGGACAACCTAGCCAGCCCATAATGAAGATTAGCTCACACAAATTGTATCTTCTCATGGTCATAAGAGGCTCAGTGACATAGCTCATGTGGCGATGCCAGGGTGTCAGCTCGTGGAGTAAATCTAGTCACTGAAGAATTGTCCATACAGATTGTGTGGGCATGTGAAAAACTGAGGAACGTCAGACTGCTGAAGGACAAAGGCTTATGCAAGCTTGGCACACAGCTGCAATATCTTCTAGTGGTGCTCATGTACCAGCCATACACTTTGTCATTCCAATAGAGGCTTAGCCACCGCATGGGCACAGTCCATCACACTCTAGACTGGAGGAAATCCAGTCCAAGAGATCAAACCAAAATCCTCTTGAGACTTAAAAACAGAAATTTCTGGAGAAACTCAGCAGGTCTGGCAGTGTCTGTAGAGAGAGAAAAACCAAGTTTACATTTTGAATCTGATGTAATTTTTCTTCATGAAGAGTTATACTAGACTCAGTGTTCTGTTTTTATTTCAGATTGTCAGCATCTGCAGCATATTGCCTTTATCCCTATGGACTTGACTTGCTGCATCTGTCTTAGAACTAAATTACTGTATGCCCTCACAGACCAAATGTCTGTTCAGATACTGGTGCAGTTGTGTGTTGCAGTTTGTGCAATTCTGAAAATGTTATCAGCTGAACACTTACTCGAAGCATTGAGAACTATTGTCAGCATGGCAACCAGAGGCAATGGGTCATCATCTTTTCGTGTTGGTCTTGTGCCTTCCTCAAAGAGTTTGCAAAGGTTAGAAATCACCTGAATTGACAATGCAGTTCTGAAAGGTCCAGGAAGCTGACATGAAGACCCTCTGTAAAAGATAGGACCTTCTAATTGTTGCCTGTGACCATCTCTCCATAGCGTCCCGATGCCTCTGGCTGTGGTTCATGCTGCAGCTGCTGGTCCTCTTGCTGTTACTGTCCCTGGGTGTATGACTGCTTTGTGAAGGATGCTGTTGTTCCACTTCAGTCATTCACTCAGCTGTAAAACATGTGGCCCCATTTCTTGTACAAGTTCCTAGGTGTAAAGTCAATAGCTCCCAAATAGATGTCCAAGCTTCCTCTTTAAAAGGGCAGAAAGTTGGTTTCCCTGAACACAATCTACAATATTTATCTCAAAGGCCTGACAACACAAGCCTTTCGCTACAGCTGGCTTTTCCTCCTTATACTCATGCTATCATGCCAGTTTCAACCATCAATGACTTGTCATTATGCACATTCATGCTGTAATTTGCTGTGCTACCGGCATAACCCATGATAAAATAGCCCTTGATTTACGTTCCAGTGGGGTCACTTGTCTGCCTGCCTTGGCCACGAATATTTCTTAATACAGTCCTAATTCATTCTTAAGAAAGATAGAGGGAGCTCAGGATACTGGCTCAACCCAATGTACTCCTAATTTTCTGGTGTCACCCAGCAAGATCCCAGACTTGCTTGGAATGGCCTTGGAAGAGTGAAGAAAGACTGGCAATGATCAAATACAGAATGAGGAGGCATTTTTATTAAATATATACAAAGTTTCTTCCTGTCTATCCTGTCTATGCCCCTCATCGTTTTATACATCTCAGTCATGTTCCCCCCTCAGTCTCTGCTGCTCTAAGGAAAACAACCTCAGTCTATTCAATCTCTTTTCATAATTAAAACTCTCCAGCCCATGCAACATTCTTAATTTTCCATTACTTCTCATTGTCACTATAGGGAGAGAAAAAGTACTGTTTAAGTTCCTCCCTCCAGTTTGTCCTTGACTTTCTGCTATTCTTGGGATGCTTTTTGCATCTTCTACCACTAAGAACAGATACAAAGCTCTTTGTCAAAGTTTCTGCTTTGTTTTCCATTATTAATTTCCCAATTTTATTCTGCAAAGGATCAACAATTATGTTTGCTGCTCTCTTTGATGTTATATATCAAATATATTGAATAATGGCCGATCCTACATAAAGTTTAAACCTTGAATATTGCAAAAAGATCCTTCACTTTTCACATACCATGTGCATAGATTGATCCCTGACATTTGGCCAAAAGATCCAAGCTCTTTTTATTTACTGCCACTCACTGCCAAAGTCAAAATCCTTGTGACACACAGCTCCTCATTTATAGAAATCATAGAACAACACACCATCCCAGGTGGCCACCCAGTTTATTATGTTTGTACTTTATACCAAATGTTGTAGCTAGCTCTCTGGTGAGCTCTCTAACCCTCAAATCCAGCTTTCCAACTTCTAAATAAGGCATCAAGAAAGTAGAGCAGAGATATACCACAGTTCAAGCTTATACTCGCAGAAATTGCAGAGCAGACAAATAATTCCGTAGCAGCTAGAGAATTAAAGATATCAGAGAAGAACATCAGAGAAGGACGAAGCTCTCGACACAGCCTAGGTAGTTGCCCAAGGACAAATGTGCAATCAGAGAAATTTAACACGTAGCCAGAGTTGGCAAATTAAATTGCAAAATATGACAATGAAAATTCAGCCTTCCATGGTCCTTTCTGAAACTTCTTCCCAGAACAAGCAGCAAGAAAGTAAATGCATTAGTGATTTCAAAGTCAGCTCTGGATAATGTACCAGGCTTATGAAGAAAAATAATTTTGTACTGTGATAGAAGACCAAGATTTCATGTAATCTTACATAGAAGTTCAATAGGAAAAATACTTTTGGACTTTCTTTGTTACACTTTTGGGAGCAAGGTTAGTGGGAATCGCTTCAAATCTGTAAATCCCAAAATTATTATTCATGCAAAAGTCAACTATTTCTTTTTGGCTTAATATTTAATCTTTGATAGTCATCTTTTACACAAGTAGATACCTAAGAAGTGCATACTTTCTGTTCTAATTTATTTTGTTATCGTTTGATGGTTCCTAACATTTTCCTAATCCTCTGACTAGACATTAATCTGCACAATATTGTGTACTTCTTATTTTAATTTGATTCCATACTTAATTTCTTAAGCTAGTCACAGAAGGTTTATCTTTTTCATAGTCTTTCTTTCTCAATGTAATGTAACTTTGCAGATAGTTATGAAACATTTCCTTAAAAATCTGCCATCTCGTAGCCACCATTTTACATTTTAATCTATTTTGCACTTTATCTTAGCTAACTCTGTCTCCATATTAAAGTTTAAGACAATAATTCCAAATCCAAGAGTCTCAACCTCAAATAAATTATCACATTATATGTGCTTTGATCACTCTCCCCTAGATGGTCTTTATTATGAGATTATTCAATTTATAATTCGAATAATCAGATCTAAAGTAGCTTGTTCCCTGATTAATTATACAGTGTATGTTCTATGAAACCTTTCTGAACATATTTTGTGAACTCCTTCTCAAGGCTACCTTTAAAATTTGATTTGCCCAATCCATGTGATGAGTAATAATGCCTACAAGTATTTCAGCATGAAGTTTCCATTATTTCTTGGTTTAAATCCTTATCGGTGACTTCTTTCCCTTGCTATTTCATATCTCTATCCAAACTGATTCTAGATCTTGATCTTCCAATCCAAGTTCATTTTTCACCACTGTATTGATATCACCCAAATATTACAAGATCTTCAACACCTTACATTCCTTTTTGATATCCTTTCAAATTGTCAAATATCCTTGAGTATTCAATTCCCAGTCAACAAGTCACCAATGTGCTGTTCTAGTTAATGCTGTTAGCTCTCACTCCTGCTGTGAGACTTCCCCTTTTTTTGTCAAAGACTACAATAACTCCTCTTCCACATTCATCTAATTCCTGACTTTGTTCCTTTGAACTAACCTCTATGTTACTGACTCCACGCATTGACAAAGCCTGCTGAACTTTTACTAGCAAGAGTTCAAAAGATTTCATTCAGTTCATGCTTACTAGGAAATCATTCTAACTTGTCAACTAACTCTGCTGCTGCCCCTAATGGCCCAGTTAGTTATCATCAACTAGCACTGGAAAAAAAATCCTGCAAATTAAGTAAAAAAATTGACTTTAGATAGAGACCATCCCTTTAGAATTTCCTGATTCACCAAAATCTTAACTTTAGAGTATAGCTTCTACATGGCGCTTATCATGCTGGCCTCCATGCTACTTACTTGTGCCAAGTGTATATTGGCTAGTTGTTATTCTACCTTTATTGTGCTCCCC